TGCAATATAACAAAGAGTGAAAAATTGAAGGGGGTCTGAATACTTTCCGTACCCACTGTATATAAATAAATAAATTATATTGAACAGAGGTTTACAGAATAAAAATTGTGGCTCTCTTTAAATACATTCAATTATAATTAAAATTATAAGGAAAGGAAGGAAAGGATGTGAGGCCAAGTTGGTAGCAGTTGGGGGTTCGGTGCCTTGCTCAAGGATCTCACCTCAGTCGTGGTATTGAAGGTGGAGAGAGAGCGCTGGTTATTCACTCCCCCCACCTACAATCCCCGCCGGACCAGAGACTCGAACCCGCAACCTTTGGGTTACAAGTCCGACTCTCTAACCATTAGGCCATGACTGTATCCATAAGGATACAACCTATGCAAAATCTCTGCTAATCTTGTACATACATATATGAATATATGTATTTTTTCATTGTTACGGTTACAGATTTGGCAAATCCAATTACTGGTGAATTGAACTTAAACGTCTAACTTATAATTTAAGAACTTATAAATGCTTGTGAAAAATATGAATATTAGTTATCAAATAAATAATAATTATATGAACAAATTATATTAAAAATAAATAACATTAAAAACATAAATAAGTAAAATTTAAAAATATGAGTAAAAATGTATTAAATTAAATAAAACATGTAATCTAAACTATACTTATCACAATTTCTGGGTACAGTTCATGACTCAACACTGCTGTAATATTGAGATCAGCCTTTATCCAGGCACATGGTCCCTTACCCTCCCTGCAGAAGTCTTTCCCTCATAGTGAGGAAGTCCATGGGGGTTTTGATGATGCGTCGGTAGCCAGGCACCAGGCGGGGATTGACCGGCTCCAGGAAAGGCCAGGCATCTGAGTGAGCCTCCATTTCCATCAGAATGATCCTACAGCACATCAAACAGCTCGCTAATTACTCCATGACACACACTCGTTATTCCACATAGTGAATTCATTTAGAGATGCACCAAAACGCATTTTCAAATCATGACAACAGATGGTTATATATCACTTCTGTTTATTTTTCGTCCAGGCAACCCACTAACATATAAAGTGCCACTTAAAAAACAATTCTAAATTTAATAATAATAAAAGCTATTAGCTCTTAATAAAAGCTTGTTGTATTTTGAAAGTACTGTTTTCCACAGGCCTGCAGACTCACTCGCAGTAGGTGAGGTCAGGCTGGTTTCGTGTGGCCATCCGTCTGCGTTTGGAGGGCGAGATGCTCGTCCCACTCGAGGAAGTTGCAGCGTCTTTTTGTCGTGTGGTCATGCCTCGTCTGTACCCATCATCCTCGTCTGAACTATCCTCTGCAAGACGCCTTTTCTGCACTTTTGATCTTTTCCGAGATGAGCGCTGCGATCTCGGAGATTCACCGCTTTCCTGCAAAATTCTGTTTCTTAGTTTTTCTTATAAACATAGGCAAATACAGACAAAGAAAAATATTCAATTCAAACATTAATATGAAAGAGATGGGGCAAAAACGGAAGCTAGATAGTTAAACATCTTGGTCACATTACCTTGGCAACGCAGGTGGGACAGAACCAGTCACCTTCTGGCACCTGCATGACCTTTGGCCTCAGGCAGAACATGTGACAGCCACGATCACAGCCGTCACACAAGAGCAGGTACTCATCATCATCACCCTTACGGCACACCTGACACGTCTGTGGACACACCAACACCCGTTTAGACAAAACTAGAGCACGATGATTTTGATAATACAGCATTTTATTATTTCATTTGAGAAAAACTATTAGAACTTAAAAGGTCTTCACGGCAACCCGTCAAAATAAAAGTTCGGTTTCACTTGAAGAAATTGTAACAAATATATTATTGTACAGTAAATGTACGTCTTAATTCTATAATAATAATAAATAAAATTATTATTAAAACTTGTTTTAAAAATAATCACAATTTTCATCAATGTTTTTATCCTAACAGTAAAACCTCTGTTGTCCAGTACTTCATTTGCCAAAAAATAAAAGGGTTTGTTTCATTAGATAAAAAGATACATTAAATTGTTTTATGTCTTCATTTGATTACCAGACAAATTAAAATAAACAACAATTTATAGGGAAAAAAAGCTAAAATAAAACTTCAAAGGGCCCTATTATTGCAGAAAATGTCATTGTTTGAATTGTATGAATTCAATTAAATACACATGCTTTTGGATCATTCAAATTTAATTAAACCATTAAAATAGAATCCGGAAAAATCCCAAAACGGAAAACAGAATTTGGTAAAAATAAAACAAAATTTGAGAAAAAATAAAACATTTCAAAGAGCCCTAAAAATGTCATTTTTGTTCAACTTTTATAAATTATTATTAAATTGTCAAAGTTTCATGATTTTAATAATTAGACATGGTTTTTGATTACTAAAATGTAATTTAACCATTAAAACAGAGACCAGAAAAATTTAAATAGGGGAAAAAATGGAATCCAGAAAAATTACAACAGAAAAAAAAAAACTGAATTTGGGAAACCGCTGGTTCTGCTGCTCTCAAAGCGCCTCCTGCTGGCAGAAAATCAGTTTGCATTTTCAATAAGCCCTTCTCCAGCAACATATGTTTTTGTAGTTGCTTTTTCTGTTTTCTGCAGCAACCCTGAGCACTTTTAATATTCTTTATCCTGGCTGAAGCACTTTTGTTTCAATCTATAAAAATAATCAGCCTGTATTATAGTTTAAAGTTAAACATATTAAAATTAATAAGGTGAGTCTGAAGGTCCTTGGACACCGAGTCCGAAATTTTGCGTATGCGTTTTTCGTATTTTTCGTATTCGTCATCCTTTCCTATCAAAATGCTTGCTACAGATGCGAAAGCGCAGAAAATCGAACCTGGTCCGGTTTTTTTTTATTTTTTTTTTATGACGAACGAAAATTTCGGAGGCATTGTGTAAACGTGATTGACACAACGTGATATTTATTTTTCAACGTGTGAAAATTTTGGTCGACGCAGTGTGCAATGGCCTTGAGAGTTTATTTGATAGTGATTTCACATTTTTTGTTTGTATGAAGGCTAAATACAAATAAAAAGCGAGCATTAATTTAATTGTACCATTTTTTTTTCTTTCTAAAATGTTATAGTTTTATAGGAGGAGGTTTCATAGGCTTGGCAAATTCATTTTTCAGAAGTTTGTAGGCACAGACATCTTTTGTGGGTGTTCTTGGCAGTTTTTTTTTTTATATTGTGACCGACTTTGACCGAAATTAAGAAATATATCGTGATATAAACTTTGGCCATATCATCCAGCCCTATATGTAATATATAATAATGGTACAGACTCTGAAGCGGAGTGAACGTGTGTGTGCTCTCACCACTTTGATGACGGATCTTTCCCAGGCGATGGCTTTCTCCAGCTGCAGCAGACAGAGAGAGAGTTGAGACGCACTGCGGCAGCGGTCCAGGGCCTGCCGCCACGTCCTCAACCTGGGTGTGATCTCACTTTCCAAGCTACAAAGACAAACAAACACATGACTGATATGCTCTAGAGTGCATATAATATACTGTAGAATTTGGAACAATTCTTTGTTGAAAAATATGATTATTTTGAAAAGTGATGCTTTGGAGATAATGTTTCACTTTATTACCCAAAGACCCTAACTCTGACCCACCTCACAGCATCTAGTGGGACCTCCTCCCCGCCGGGCGGAGGGGTGAGAGGCGCCAAGCGCACCACCTCGGACAGAGTCCACAGTGGCTCCTTCAGATAACGGCGCTCGATGTTGCGCTCCAGATTAGTCAAGCGGAGGACGGCCAGGTCCAGGGGGTTGCTGGGAGCTCGCAGGAGGTCGGACCATTCCTTCTTGGTCTTGACTATCCAGTCGTCCTTGGGGTCAACCTCGTGCTCGTAATACTGCAGGTCATCCCGCGTGGAGTCCGCCTCGGGAGGGGTATACATCTGAAACCAGGACAAAAGTCCAAAGTGAATATTACAACAATTTTGATGTCAGATGTAACCTAGGGTAAACCAAAAACATAATTACTTAAAAAGAAAAAATAATAATACTTCTATTCTCTCTCTCTCTCTCTCTCTCTCACACACACACACACACACACACACATATATATATATATATATAAACACACATATTCAGTAGGGTTGCTGATAGACGGTGTTGACAGTTTTACCGGTGTGAAGCCACAACACCGGTTAAGTCACCACCGTTGTTTTGATTTTTTATGGTAATAAAAATAATTTAGTTCAGTTAGAGAACAGACACTACAATTAAAACTGAACGTGGCTGCTCAATGCAGCGTGCCGAACGAAAGTCGCGTCACGGATCAATTTAATTTATCACGTGAGGAGAAGCTGACAAGAAGATTGAGGTGAGACAGACAAGACGATGGCAGAAGAGTTTCCAAACGACGTGCAAAAGCGCCCGTTTTAAAAATATGTTGGATTTTGAAAAGCCTGTTGACTTCTGCAATTTATCTAAGGTGACATTGGAAGTTTATTTATTTGGTTCCACAGTGTTTGCTGATTTTTATTTAAACTGTGTATTTTTTTTATTTTACATCAAGTATGCCATGTCTCCAAGCTTTCTTATTTGTTTTGCTAATAAACGTATGTTTCTTATTTATTTGGTTACACAGTGTTTACTGATGTTCAGTTTTGTATACCTAAACCTTGTGTAAGTTATTTGTTAGTTTATATTAGGCATATAGCATGGTGTATTTTTATTCGTTTTGTTAATAAAAGTTCTATGTTCTACGTTGTATTTTGTTGTTGCTTGAATTGAATTCAAGCAATTGACGCCAGATAAGCTATTTAAAAGCGAAGGAAAGTGAGGAAAAGAGGGAAAACTCAAATGAACTAAAAACAAAGAACTGCTTGACGCCGAATTGCCGAATAACAGTATCACACGTCGATTAAACGGTGGGAAAATTTCCTCACCGTCACAACCCTAATATATGGAACAGAGAGTGAGCGAGAGAATTTATATACACACACATACATACAGCACGTAAAATAAGTATTAAACACCTCACCATGTATTTCTAAAGATGCTGTTGACATGAAATTTTCACTAGACGTCGATAATTTTATATAATTACTGTAATAATATAATTAAATAATACACCTTTACCCTAATATTCCCTTTTTAAGAGTTTAAATAATCAGCAATAATGAATAATTAAATTAAATAATGAAATATATTAACAGGTTTAAATGTTAATTACTATAACTATTTATTAGTTAGAATAAATAAACAATTTGCATACATACATTTTCATTATCGCATTAGTTCAAGACATTCCTTTTCTCATAAGTAATAATTTATTGAATGCATTTAATTACATTTGTATTATTATGTATAATTTTTTTTTATTTAATATTATATTAGAAATAATTTATTGTCTGTATAGTGAAGAGAGAAAACCAGGGGAAATGCAATCAGGAAGTGATGTCAGACATAGTCGTGAACAAACCACAACGCTGACAATTTACTGAAACTGTTTATATGGTATGTGTTTTTGTTCTGTAAAATCTGTAAAAAACATTACTGAAGCTTATGAATATAGGCGTATCTAAATAATGAGTACAATATTAAATATATATATATAGAGAGAGAGAGAGAGAGAGAGAGAGAGAGAGAGAGAGAGAGTATAATTAAAACAAAAATTCAGAAAAAAATAAATCACAAAGCCATGAAAAAACCTCAACACTTACAATTTACTTTTAATTTAAGCACTCTGAGCAACTCATCAGGTTGTGTCACATTCATTATGAGTAACTCACTGAGCGGTTTCCTCTACTTATTAGGATTAATAGTCTCAAAACAGAGCACTTGAGTGTGGTTTTCACTACCTGAAATTGAGAGCTTGATGATTCCTGACTAGCCTCACTTTCACTCTCCGCATTGGGAAAGGCCACCTGGAGAGAAAGATTGTGGACACGGTGATGAAGTGAGCGTGCTTGTGTGCAGTACATACAACACAAACAGTGTCACCCTGTGGTCACAAATGGAGCAAGACCTTACAGTACTGTGATTACTTCAATAAAAGAAAAAGTGGCTTTTGAATCGGCTTAACAGGTTTTCTTTACCTTGAGCTGAAGGTCTGCACCGACCACCCTCTGCTCCAGATCTTCCACGCACTGGAGCACATTGATGTCTAACTGCAGGACTCTCTCCTGCTCACTCCACGCCTGTTTAGACGCCTGCAGCAGGGCATGGCCGTCCTCCACAGTCATCTGGAAGATGGGATCTGGGAGGAAACGATGGAAAACAACACAATAAGCATGCTGCTGTCCATCAACTCCTGCAGTCCCTCTGTATGTGCTGCTGCTCCTCACCGCTGACGGGCCGTGTGCAGACCTCAGACATATACTCCATGTGTTTGGCGAGGTGCTTGTGGAGCACTTTCTCACGAATGCCTCGAGGGTGGAGGGCGCTCAGAATGGCTGTCAGCTCCTCCGGTTCTTTGATCCACCACCAGCCCTTCACCATTTCTGTAGGACAGAAAGACATGAAGCCAATGAACGCTGCTCTGCTGGAAACCAAGAGCTTTAGGATGTCATTCAAGATACACAAGTAATGAATATTATATAATACATATTTTCTCTGCATTGTACCAGTAGAGCATCACAAATAAAACACTAAACTTAGCATGAAGATAAAACTCTTCATATGGGATTTGATTCTGCTCAAATCTGTAAGGCATTGCTGAAGCTTATGAATATAGGAATTATAAAGCCATTATGTTTTTTCCTAAACAGACCGTTTATTTCTTATGAACTCAAATTTTATGAAAGTTAATTCTTATGAACTCAAGGTTATGAAATATTTTGAAGTAATAAATCAGTTCAGTAATTTGAATTGAAATGAACATATCAAACTGATAAGTGAATTCGAATATAATTATTCTATGATTATTATTATTTTATTTAGTTTTTTCAGAATTACAGAGAATTTTACAGAAAATTACATTTAAAACTTTACAGATTTTTTAAAGATTAGGGCAAGCATTTTTTTTTAAATAATATATAATTCAGATATTATTATTCAGCATTGTTTTTATACTATTACATTTTTATAATAGTTTTTATATATATATTTTTTATTTTCAGCTGAAACAAGTTTTGAGTTTCTCACCTAATATATATGAATGGTAAGATTCACCGATTCGCATCGGCATAAAAGTTAACAATGCGATGCATCGATTTAAAAAAGTGTGCATCGGATACAAGTTGCATGTACCAGTACAAGTCACGAAGCATTGTTTCTTACATATTTGCATTGGTAAAAACTATTATAGAATTATTAGTAGATGCGCTATACTTTTATTATTTAGAAAGTGACCAATAATTTGTGACCAGTATTTTATAAGTAGATTGATTTCTCCTCTTTAAACTGTTTCTCAAGTGCATTCTCTCTTCTCCACTGCTGCTACATGAATATGACGTATCACAAAACTACGGAGACCGAGGCGTGTCCTGAGAGTCACATAGAATATAGATTAACATGGCAGCGGTAGAGCTGCATCTTCCCCCAAATAATTACAAAGAAATAAAAGCGAACTATCTGTACCATATTGAATTGCATAGCATCATATTTTTTCATTGCATCTTTTTTCTTTGAATCGCATTGTGTTGAATCGAAATCGGATCACACTGCATCGTAATAGGGGTGCATTGCCTCAGTAGCTGCTTCATATGTATGTTTAATGTATCGTATTGTTGGCTATGCATCAAGATCCGTATCGCATCGGCCTCAGTTATGAGATGCACATCCCTAATATATATATGCATATTTTTTTCCAAATAGTTTTAACTTACAATAATATCTTTTATCATTTAATTTTTTTTAATAAATATTTTAATATCTAACTATGTTAAGTGTTTTATTTTTATTTTTTTTCAAAATTAATGAGATTAATTTAAAATAACAAATTATTAGCTTCTAGGGCTGCCACTAACGACTATTTTTATTTCGATTAATCTATCGACTAATTTATCGATTAATCTAAACGATTGATTTCCCGCAACAAAAAAAAATCAACAATTTTACTTACGAATATTTTATTAAACTATATTTTAATATAGGATAAATAAATCCTTTTTTTAAAGAAAAAGTAAAGTGCATCCAGACGCTGCACACATGTAAATGATAACAGTTCCTGTGGAACTACTGTGAACGGAGCCGCCGTGTGACGCACGTACTTAACCTACACGCATGTAAATAATTAAAGCGCATATATAGAACTGCATTGCATATAATTATTTAATTAAATCGTAGCGTTTGTGAATTCACAATTATGCTTAATTATGTTTTTTAATGGGTATATTTAAATGGGTTTAATATATCATGCAGCCTTGGGAAACAGTCTAATAATGTGTTTTATGGATTCTCGTCCGTGAAATGCACCACTTCCGGTATTTTGCCGGTTAGTCGACGCAAGCAAAATGAAGTCGAGGATTTTTAAAAATCGAATAGTCGAATAAAATCGACGAATCACAACAGCCCTATTAGCTTCCCTCACAAACTTCCAACAGTTCACAAACCACAGTTTGGGAAACTCTGGGTTCGATAAAGTTGCCTTGGCTTGGTGACATATTTAAACTAAACATAATAAACATCCATCCAATTCCTAGGCTCAGTATTTCAGAGAAAACTAAATGGTCAAGTTGACAAGTCTTCGAAAAACTTAAGTAATCTAAGAACGCAAGATGGCCAAAAACATATTCCACCCTAATTGTCAAGTCCAGCATAAGTCCTGTAACATCACAGCACTCACCTAACGGAATAGGCTTCACCACCAGCTGAGTGAAGTACTTCAGTTCAACCTCTTGGAAGAGATTGGAGGGAGGTCTGCCACGCCTCTTCGCCGCACTGGCGCGAGCATGAGCTCGGGACGGCCCGCTGCTTCTCCTGCGCCTCCTACCGGCCCTGGGAGCCAGAGTGGAGCACACCTTAGGAAGAGGAAGAGGAAGAGGAGCCGCTTCCGTCTGCATCTGCGGTTAAGAACAAAGAGGGAAGCGATCAGAAGGATAAAAATTCGGCATTCAGAATATTCAAAAACTTTCTGATGTGTGACCCTGTAGCACAAAACCAGTCTTAAGTCGCTGGGGTATATTTGTAGCAATAGCCAACAGCACATTGTATGGGTCAAAATTATCAATTTTTCTTTTATGCCAAAAATCATTAGGATATGAAGTAAAGATCATGTTCCATTAAGATATTTTGTACATTTCCTACAGTAAATATATCAAAACTTAATTTTTAATTAGTAATATGCATTGCTAAGAACTTCATTTGGACAACTTTAAAGGTGATTTTCTCAATATTAAGATTTTTTTTGCACCCCCTCCACCCCTCAGATTCCAGATTTTCAAATAGTTGTATCTCAGCCAACTATTGTCCAATCCTAACAAACCATACATCAATGGAAAGCTTATATATTCAGCATAAATCAGTATTAATTTCCAATTTTAAAACATTGACCCTTATGACTGGTTTTGTGGTCCAAGGTCACATCTTCTTAAAGGGTGAACCTGTGCTGTCGGAGGCTGTGGTGGAGGAGGAGCGAGCGGGTCACTATCGAGGGGTGCTGGAGTGTCTTCAGTGGGGGATGAAGCAGGCGCAGGTGTGTTCTCGCACAGCTGGGAGATCGACGTCTCGTCGCACGGCTCCTTGGGCAGCAGATTGAACCACTGGCCTCTTTTCTCTGCCTGCTCCCTCATGCTGTCCTCCGGCTGGCTGTTATCCTCGCCCTGACCGGCTCCAGATGCTGCCATCGGCGCGCTGCTGTCGGCCTCTGTGTCCTGCGGCTGCTCGAGAGGCGTCTGGAAAGCGGGCTGAGCGGGATCCTGCACAGGAGAGCTGAGAGTCGAATCCTCAGCTGTTGATCTGCTGCTACGGTGGCGCCGCCGGTTCTTGGCGGTTCGCAGGTGGAGCTCCACTTCGGGTTTGATCTTGCGCGGGCGTCCACGCCCTCGAGTGCTGCTCATCAGAGAGGCCTCGCCGGGTAGAGAATCCACCTCTGTGGGGGAAAGCTGGGACGCTCGAGGAGAAGAGGGGAGAGATGTGGCGAAAGCCGGAGAGAGGGGAGGCTCAGCTTTAACCTCGGTCTTCACTGGAGTTATGACCTTCACATAAGTCACAGGTTCATCGCTGACGGTCACTTCATCTGAGGCTGAACACAAGCAACTGGTCATTAATATCGGTAACAAGTAGGGCAGCACAATAATATTCGCACGATGAAAATCAGAAAGCCATAAAGTATTGTAATTTACAAATATTTTACTTTTACAGTCATCATTTTTTTTATTTGACAGTGAAATATTACAAGTCATATTTATTTTGTTTTATTTTTTAGATTTATATTTAGTACTGACAACTACTGCTACTAATTATTATTATTATTATTATGATTAATATTATTATTTCACAAAATTTGCGCAGCCCAACAATTTTTTTTTTAATTGCATTTTAATTTAAACATTAAGATTGGTAACAAGTAGGGCTGCACAATTAAGTCTTAAAATTAAGAAATTAAGAATGAACAATATATATATTAATACTGTTGTATAAAAATTACTATTTTTCTTAATTTCTTACATATTTTATTTTACAGGGAAATATTACAATAGCAATGTTTCTTAATTTATGTAGTTAATTTGGTAATACTACTATTAATGACAATAATAATAATAATAATTATTATTATTATTACTATAACAAAAATAACAATTATTATTGTTGTTGTTAATTATTTTATAGCCATATTAATATATAAAATCACAAAAAAAAATATGCAGCCATACAAACAAGTACAGAAAAACTGGATTTTTTTTTATTGCAATTAAAATAGGCAGAAAATAAAACTATTAGATTTTTTTTAATAATTTAATTTTTTTTTTCTTTCCCAAATCATGCAGTAACAAGAATACCAAGAAAAAAATGAAACGTAGGAATCATTAGGCACAAATCTGATTATGATTCAGGCAATCAAAATCAGATTCACCATGCTCGCAAATGTTTGAATGGCACTTATCTTTAATGCTTTGTCCTGCATGTGATTTTATAATAACCAGGGCCAAATATAAAAAAAATTTAAAAAATTGAGAATCATTGTGAGAACAGAATCGTGATTCATCTGTGACTCCACAGCCTGATTGTCTATGGGACATTACGTCATGTACAGACTCTGAGGGGGATCATAAAGGCCTAAATCTCAAAGTGCTACCAGACTAACTGCATGCTGGGAGTTTCCACTCACTCAGGATATCCTCTGCTCCCTCCACGAGGACACATCCCATATAAGGCAGCAGCAAGTACCTGCGGCGGTACCGATCCTGCCCCAGAGACACCGCCCGCATAGAATGAGATGACTGCTGCAGCTTCTTGCGGAAAAACACTTGCCGCTGTGAGACAGAAGCAAACATTGTTACTCAGCCAACAGCCTTCACATTTAACAAAGGTTTGAAATGAATTAAGTTTGTTTCACATGATTCTAAAAACCTTTTGAAGCTGCTTTGCAATCTGTATTGTATAAAGTGTCATGTAAATAAATGTGACTTAACTGGTGCCTTAACCGAAGAAAAAAAAAGATGAAATACTAATCATTCCAGCAGCCAAAAAATAGTTATGTATTCATTTCTTTACAAAAATAAATACTGTTTTAACTATCTGGACAATGAAAAATAATTAGGTGTGTGTAAACGTTTCACTAGTGATGCAATGAAATCAAATTCATAACCAAAATCTAAACTTCAGGACTCACTGGAACTAAACCCACAAATCCTCATCTTAAATCAGCTTTTTTTGGAGTAACTATCAATTCTATTCTAATCAGTTCTAATATTATTAATATATTTAAGTGAATACACCAACTTGGTGTAACTTCACAATAACATATATGCTCTAAATAATTTTCAAACAAGTATAGACGAACTGTATAGAATAAACAGTGTTATTATACATGTGTCAGTGTTAATCAAATTTAATTAAAAAAAATTCTGAATCTCAAAAATGTCCTTTTCATCAGCTGAGATTTTGGTGGATCCATACCTACATCAGTTATTAAATATAGATATTTTACCTTGGTCAGTTTATCAATCTGACGCTCCAGCTCAGCAACACTGCAGGTATTGGGACTCTCAATCTATGAGAAAACAATACAAACATAAAATATTTACTAGTGCTGCCAAACGATTAATCGCATCTAAAATAAGTTTTTGTTTACATAATATATGTTTGTGTAGTGTATATTTATTATGTATATATAAATACACACACATGCATGTATATATTTAAGAAAAATATTTTACGTTTATATATTAAATATATTTATATATAATTTATATGAATATAAATATATACATGCAAATAAATGTAAATATTTTCAAAATATATGCTGTATGTGTGTGTATTTATATATACATAATAAATATACACAGTACACACACACATATGTAAACAAAAACTTATTTTGGATGCGATTAATCGTTTGACAGCACTAATATTAACAGGTAACAAAACAGTTAAACCAGGAAACCCCTTTGAACAACCTTTTTTAAATTCTTTAAGTAACCAGACATTTATTATTTAGCAACATATTTTCATGTTCACATGTCTCTGGTGTTGGCTAATGGTACAATGACATTCAGATAAACAATATTTTTCTGTTTTATTCTGATTTTTTTTTATATTTATTTGAATTTTTTCATTATGATTTAATTAATTATAAGCTTTTCATTACTTCACGAACCCCCTGCAGTTCCCTCATGAATCCCAGTTTGGGAAACCATCAATTAAGCTCCGAAACTGAAGGGACTCATTTTTGATAGTCTCACATAATCACATTTGAGGTCAAAGGAAGTCGAGATACAGCCCGTTTCCCTGAACTGACAGCTCTCACTCAGGAAATCTTTAGTAGATGGCTGTTCTTGATTAATTGCATCATTTCACATCTTCAGAGTAGCTGAGTAGTCTCTTTTATGAAGCAATTTTGACTATGGCACATAGCTTGACTATGTGGCTGTGAATATAGCTTTAACCCACTGACATGTACTGCTCTAAATAATAAAATACTGCTCCATAAGCGCAGCTCTGGTTTGGCAGAGGTCCTGTACCTCCGTGTGTTTGGGTTCCTCTTTGGCTTTGCGGCGGCTGCCTCTCTCCAGCACGCAGCTCTCCTCGATGCTCTCCTCCTCGGTCACTCCCACACGAGCACTGCGCCGGCGCTCCTCAAAGCACAGCTCCTCCTCCGGACGGCCCGTCTTACGCATCAGCGCAGACTTCAGTCTGCTCAGACACACACATTTATGTAGTCTCTTTTATGAAGCAATTTTGACTATGGCACATAGCTCGACTATGTGGCTGTGAATATAGCTTTAACCCACTGACATGTACTGCTCTAAATAATAAAATACTGCTCCATAAGCGCAGCTCTGGTTTGGCAGAGGTCCTGTACCTCCGTGTGTTTGGGTTCCTCTTTGGCTTTGCGGCGGCTGCCTCTCTCCAGCACGCAGCTCTCCTCGATGCTCTCCTCCTCGGTCACTCCCACACGAGCACTGCGCCGGCGCTCCTCGAAGCACAGCTCCTCCTCCGGACGGCCCGTCTTACGCATCAGCGCAGCCTTCAGTCTGCTCAGACACACACATTTATGAGAATGACGAAGCCAGTCCCAGAAGAGCTGCTTCACACCTGGTCCAAACCCTCCTCGCACATGCAGGATTATTTTAGTGTCTGAACCACAGTACTTTTGAGTCATCGATGTGAGTAACTAGATTCAGAAAGAAATAATCCAAGCCATTATCTTTGAGTGAAATCTAGTGATCATCCAATATATTGTCAAGGCCGATAGTTTGCGTCTTTTTTCTTTTTTTTTTTTAATTACCAGCATCAGCCAAAAATTTTTTCTGTTCAGCCAATAAGTCGAAACGACTTTTAT